CATTTAATGCGGGACAAATATGCGCTTTAAATGTGCATGTACAATTCGCATTTAATGCGAATTTTAATGCACATTTAGAGCGCATTATACGTGCATTGGCGCTCCTTGGGTATATATTTTACATTGCAAGAATTTCATGTTATTGTATGCATACCGAATATTTTAGACGTAACGTCGAAAGAAATTTTGTATTGTACAAATATTATATATTTTTAATCGTATAGTGTAATTATTTCTTATATAATATTGCATACATTGTAATGGAAATTACAAGAAAAATGAAATAAATAATAAAATTGTAAAAAATCACATTGTAAAGAAAAGAGGGCTGCCGATCGAAATCGGCGGGGTGGAGGACCTACTGTGGAGATCGATTTGTTTTTATTAAATAAAATTTTAAATTATGAATATATTACAAAATAAATTGTAAAAAAATTAGTTATAAAAATGTAAAAACACAATTATGGCAAACAAAAGAGGACCGCCGATAAGAATTCGGCGGGGGTGGTGGAGGGCCTCTACAAGTTGGTCTGTTTTCATCGGATAAAAATTTAATTCGAATAAAAAAGAAAGGTATCGTTTCATTTATAACTAGAAAAATGCAAAGTTTCATTTGTCAGAATGCAACCGTATTGATTATCCGATATAAACGGAGCAATCTTGTATGTACAAAAGAATATTTAAATAATTTTCTAGTGACTATTTTATTAATTGGACAAGAAGAATTCAGACGATCTTAAATACAAGATCGAGATACAAATATTGTTCTACATGTAGTTTACTGAGATACACTACCGTTCAAAATTATTCGAACAGCATATATTTTATACTTTGCTCCGATGTTCCATACTATTATTAGCACAGATAATACTTTATTGGAATAATTAATTGTTTATATAATATATTGGTTGTAATTGTATCGTATGTAAATTTAAATTATTGAAATGACATTCATCACATTATCTCTAATTATCCTTATATGTATATGTATATATGTATATATATATGTCGACATTATATTATTATTTATTAAAATCTATCCAATAAACAAAGAACGTATTGAATTACCAGAGGTGTGGAAAAAATCAGCAAAGTAAATTATAAAAATATTATTTAACAAGTGCAAAAAGTTTGTAAAGCAGTAATCGAAGTAACGATAGCGAATATTGATGAATCTTGTTTAAATAAGAATTAATAAATAATCTTTCAATTCAATATTATATTATAATCTAGTTTACGAGCTTCTCATGTAAAGTAATTTTTATTAATAAATATTACTTTTTCAGTATGTACCGTCTTTAAACTCTTTGAGTCGTTTGAATAATGATAGGCGGTAGTGTAATTTTTTTTAATGATTTTATTTTGCTATAAATTTATCTGCCTAAAAATAATATTTATAACTAACTAATAATAAGAGGTAAAGTATTCGTATAACACTGACAAAATATTCATATATCATCCTCTTTATAAGAGATGTATTCTCTCTGCAAGGGACTAGACTACGTAAAACTCGACATGGTAAATGGAAAATTAAATACTGTCAATTATGGCACACTTACGATAGATACGCTACACCGAGAAAAATTTCCATCGGATAAACCAATTAAATAGTGTTTCCGATGGTTAATTTTTCCGTATATATCCGATGAAATGCAATTACCGATGTTTGATCGAAAACCCGATCATATTTTTCATCGAATATATTCGTTTGTTAATATGTAATTTAATTATCCGATTAAATAGGCCAAGATATTTTTCTCAGTGAACATACTACACTGAGAAAAATGTCCGATTAAATATAATCGGATAATCCAATTACATAATAACAAACGGATATATCCGATTAAATTATATATCCGATGAGAAATGTGATCGGTTTTTCAATCAAAGTTCATCGGTAACTGCATTTCATCGGATAAATTTCATCGGATGTATCCATAATTTAATCGGAAAACGTAATCGGAAAAATTAACCATCGGAAACACTATTTAATTGGTTTTTCCGATGAAAATTTTTCTCAGGGTACAGTTACACGTACGACTCTTAATAACAATAGTGAGAGAAAGGGATTAACATGTCACGTTATCGTTGTTACCTCATAAAAGACAACCATGCTGTCACCCGTAATACTTCTACACAGCTTACAAAGAAATTACAAAGAAATTTCATAAAAGAAGCTTAATTAGCGCCTAAATATCTATTTTTTTTCTTACACTGAGAAAAATGTCCGATTAAATATAATCGGATAATCCAATTACATGATAACAAACGGATATATCCGATTAAATTGTATATCCGATGAAAAATTTGATCGGTTTTTCGATCAAATTTCACCGGTAATTGCATTTCATCGGATAAATTTCATCGGATATATTCATAATTTAATCGAAAAACGTAATCGGAAAAATTAACCATCGGACATACTATTTAATTGGTTTATCCGATGGAAATTTTTCTCAGTGTACAAATAATCAAACTCGATAGATCAGGCTGTAATCGTAGGGATAAAATATATACACAGCGAGGAGTTCCACCGTCCATAAACTACGAATGTCATTTGCACTCGCGCCGTCGCGAAAGATTTAATGTAACCCACACAGCAAAAAATGTCACAAAGATATCTAGGAGATATCTAAATATTACAATATCTGATACAAAAACTACTCAGATATCGTTTGGATATCCGAGAGATGTCTTTCAGATTCTAAGAAGTCATGATTAGTTCATCTGAGATATATCTGATTTTATATCAAATACAATATTAGATATCTACATTTTAGTGAAATCGAATTTTACGTATTACAGAATAGGCATTGTGATAAATAAAAAATATTTTATCTTTATCAGTTCTGGAATAACTTATTACGGAACACGGCCTCCATAAATCAGCCCTCACTCTTTTATACTATTATTGTAAACTCATCCTTATCATTTTTTTTTATCGTACTATTTCTTTTTTGACTAGATAAGTTTAGAAAACTTATTTTGAGGAAAAGTTAAATAATCAACAATTATTTAAAAACAAAACAAATGATAAAAATAAAAATATAAACAATAATTTTTAAAGGAGATGTCAGAAATGTGATATCCATACAATATTCAGATATATCATCTACAAGATCTCTCAAATATGACCGGTGGAATGATATCCGATTTAAGTCTCTGATATATTTTGCTGTGTGGAAACTTAAGTTGCGGTCCATTTGATGCTGCAAATTCTTCTTTGCCTTCTTTCTTTATTAAAAGGAAGAAGAAGAAGAATACTCGGAGGCATTTAAAGTGTCAAGTGGACTGCAGCCTTAAGCTCTAAAACGGTATACATACATTTGATTTGGCGCGCGAGGATAACGAGGACGGCAATTTGATATAAACTAAATGATATTGATCGATATGCCGCGCACTGGCCACTAGCCCTTTTCTGGATGTATCCGAGGGGACTTTGAAAGTCATTTGTTCATATTCAGAGGCATCATGGGCACGTATTTGTCACTGGGTCGGAACTTGTATTGCGAGCATAATCGATCGGACACAGCCTCCGCGTATCCGTTCCTGCAAAAAATCTCATTGATCAATATTCGTCAAATCTCTCGTCGACAGGACGTCGCGGCGGCTGATAAAATGAAAAGCCTTCACCGGGGGATTAAAACTGGGTTATAATTTAGCAGAATAAAGAACCTTTCACCATGGCAGGGAGATTGATTACATGACAACCGGAGGATAATTATGATACGCGGGACCGCCACCAAAAGTCACGTGTTAAGTGCCGGAAAAGAATAAAAAAAAACTGTTTACAATGAGATCCTTTCTTATATTTCGAGATCTTCAAACAAATGGTACGACATCTCGAAAGTTTCTCCGTCTGGCCTGGACGAAATCCCAGAATGCGTAGGAAACGGTCGTCAACAGTGGTCTTTGGAATCCTCTAACCTCAGATAAATTGTTTGGCAAGAAACGAGGGGGCCTCTCCCATTCTAAATCGCAGCTAAAATGATTCTACCATGTAACGGCAAGAATTTTCAGAAAACCATTCTCTCTCTGTCTCTCCCTCTCTCTCTCTCTCTCTCTCTAGTTGTACGACAAAAATTTTTTATCGCATAAATATGCTCTTTTATTTATACAAATATGCAAAGCTACTTTTTTATCATATAAATATATAATTCGTATTTAACATAAAAAAATGTTATAATTAAAAAAACTATAAGAAACGACTAGTCTCGTTCCGATGATCGAAAAAAAGTCATTTTGCTTCATAATAAAAAACATTTAAATTAATTACTACCAGGAAGTATGTGAGATATATCGTAAAATCGATTTTGTGAGATTTCAAAGACTTTTGTATGAAATACCTTTGCCACTGCGAGCACGGTCGTCTCTCTTTGAAGCAGATAACCTGGATCACATTGAAGAAAAGCGCGCCGAGGGTATTGGCCACCTCGGTATTGAGATTCTGTAAACATCTGCGGAATTTGGCGTCGCAATCGCAATGCGAGCGAGTAAATGGCGAGTTATTGCATATGCCGTGTATGCATTGTTGCGGCGCTATCGTGAACGGGCAATGGTCGTGCTCCCTGCAGCAGGTATCCTCGACCGAATGTTGGCCCACATCGTCGTAGGAATCGGCCACGTTGCCTGGTCCGCACCACTTAGTTCCCGGATATATTAAACCACCGCCGGGCGCTTGATTCTGGAATTATAGAAATTGCGTAATGTCGATCCGACATCGATCCAAATGTCATCGATAGAGGTGTGACATTTTGATGTTATTTTTTGGCATTTTTTGCGTTTTGTTTTTCCAGATTTTGCGTTACTTCGATGTTATTTTTTGCATTTTTCCGGATTTTGCATTTTGATAGTGTTTTTGATAATGCCGTGGGCAGGGGTGGGCAGGGTTTCAAGTTTCAATAAGACGACTTGGGCTCGGTTTAGTAAGTAAAAACTAGTCTTAGGCATAAATCTCTTTGGTTTAGGATACAACATTGAAGTTAAAAATGTTTACTAAGGAAAATTGCGATTGTTAACGTTATTTGGACGCTATTTTGCGTGTTGAGGGTCATCTTGCGTTATTTTGCGTTTTAAAAACGTGTTAAACGAAGTTGGGTACTCCAAAATGCAAATAAATGACATTAAAAATGTTCCTGGGGCATTTTGCGATATTCTGCGTATAAAGATAACATAAAAATGTCATACCTCTAGTCATCGATTATCCAAATTACCTTTCAGAGGCTTCCGAAAGGAAGCCGTTTTTACGAATACAATAATATTTTAAGGAAACAGTCAATAAGCGATGATTATTCATGTTAAAATATTAAAATATTATAAGTATAAGCCAAGATATTCTCTCAATTTATCTTTTAATAACACAGCTAAAAAAAGACACCGGGACGAGACTGGTCGTTTCTTATATTGTACACTGAGAAAAATGTCCGATTAAATATAATCGGATAACTCAATTACATAATAACAAACGGATATCCCTAGCGAAAATAATATGTTTATTAAAAGTTTATAAGAAATTTGTTTAAATGTTGAGTTAATGTTTTATTTGAGTTTTAACACTTTTATTGAATTGTTTGTGAGATATAATTAATTTAAACATGGAGGTGTTTGTGGCATGTTCACGATTACAAGTGTTCAAGTTGCGTTTAATGATACAATGTCAAACGTTTCCATTATAATTTTCTAAGTGTTCGTAAAATGTTATTGTCAGTAAAGAATTAACCAGGTATTTGCAACGTACTTCCAAACGGCGTAACCATCAATAAAACTGTTCATAAAACAATGTAACTATCGACAAAACATCATCTCTCTTAAAATTTTCGCCAGAGATATCAAATGAAAAAAATGTGATCGGTTTTTCAGTCAAATTTAATCGGTAACTGCATTTTATCGGATATATCCACAATTTATCGGAAAACGTACTCGGAAAAATTAACCATCGGAAACACTATTTCATTTTTATCCGACGAAAATTTTTTTAAGTGTAGTTTTTGTACGCTAAACACGCATCCGATTTCCAAATGACTTCATCACGTCACAATGTCGAGAAATTTGCAATTAAAGTTGCCAAAAAAGGTTATTTTCGCGAACTTTGTCATATTTTGATATGATGGAATTTGGAAACCGGATTCGTATTTAACATTTAAAAATGTTACGATTGAAAAAAACTATAAGAGACCATTAGTCTCGTTCCGATGATCGGAAAAAGGTCATTTTGCTTTATAAAAAAATATTCAAATTAATTACTACGAGGTAAAATAATTTGGAACATTTTATTATATCCTCAGAGGCAATCGATGAATTCTCTCACCTTTCCCTTATTTCGCGAAGCCTTGCAGGTTTCTTCCAGGTCGGCGACGAGGTTGCTGGAGATTTGTCGAACTTTTCGGGGATCCGCGCCGAGAACCATCTTCTGGATGACCCCGCGGTCGTTGTAAAGCGCGCAGAAAGGTGCGTCGGCATTCAATTCCACCATTCTGGACATGGTAGTGTCGGCGACCAGCACGCTAGCTTCAGTCCTCTCGGCCCAGAGGATCGACAGAACGCCGAGCAGGACAGCGAGCATCTGCGAACGGCGAGAAATAGATCCACCAGGTGGGACGAGTCGTTAAAAGTAACCGTCAAAGGCGAAGATTTTACCAGGCATCGCCAAACGAGATAAATACACGAAAACACTCACAATCAGCAGCCGACCTTCGTCTCTGATGTCGGCACCGTCAACAATTTCGACTCGCTCGAATGGCTTTCAAGAAAAAAAAACTAAGAGGGCTATTCGTACACCGAAACGTTCGGTCAGAATTAATGCTTGACCGCGATTTTAAATGGCACTCCTCGCCAAGGCCACCATTGATTCTGTCTCTTCGTAACGACAGGACGAAAATATTATCGCTACACAATGCATCGCAACTTGATTGCGTAATGTAAATTAACATATTTGTACACCTTCTCGGGTTATGCAACCGGTTAACGATTTTGTTTAGTATTCGGAGGAGAATTTGTAGTGGCTCTTCGCGGTGAAAGGCTTCGAAACAACGAAGTGCGAATCGGTCATTTATCACATCGCATATTTAATTTCACGAGAATGTCAGTCTGTAAAATAGACGGAACCCATCTAGCCCGCATGTCTAAAAGACATCTTTAGGACGTCTTTAAGTCATCTTTCAGATGTGTATGTCCCAAAGACGACTTATAGATGTCTTTTGGACGTGCGTGATGTATGGGAGGTATCATACTCCGCGCGTATCTTCATGTGCCATTTGTCAGAGTGTACCAGAGGACGGGTGCCGACAGATGACAAAGTCCTAATCTTTCAGCGGATATATCTAATTCGGAGAGTCGAACTAGCCTACGACCTCGGTTGGGTTTGGGTCGTTTCAATTCAGGCCGATCGCGAAAACGAGATCGAGAGTGCGCGCCCTGAGAGAGATTAAGCATGTGTAACGTGATGATCCCTGGCGAAAATGACATGTTTATAAGAAGTTTGTTGAAATGTTGGGTCAATGTTTTATTTGAGTTTTAAAACAATTTACTGAATTGTTTTTTTGACACGTTTTACGACATGTTCACGGTTACAAGTGTTCAAATTGCGTTTAATGATACAATGTCAAACGTTTCCATTACAGCTTTCCAAGCGTTTGTAAAATGTTATTGTCAGTAAAGAATTAACCATGTGTTTGCAACGTACTTCCAAACGGTGTAACCGTCAGTAAAACTCTTCATAAACAATGTAACTATCGACGAAACTCTTCATAAATAAATATGAACATCATCTCTCACTGAAAACTTTCGCCAGGGATGTGGGTCAATGAAGTTTATCGGTGAATTTGTCTCTTGAACCTGCCTTTCGGCAGAATATCGACAAACAAGATCGCCTAACACTCTACAATAATTCACGTGCTCTGGACCTAGTGTGCTCCGCACCAGGGGTTATTACTCATCGCGAGCCACCATTATCGAGTCATCAAAACCGCTCGTCCCTCCGCTGGACGTTCCTGTCCTGCTCGAAAGGGAAAGGCGCGAGGTAATATGAATTTTTCGCGAACGTCCGCACCTCTGCGTTAAATCTTTTTGCGTCAATATTTTTTTCGCTTTCAAAACAGAATTAGCCTAATATTTCACGTAATACAGTTCACGTAATACAGTTTAAACGCAATTTTTGTAGAATTTTAAACGGCACCACCTCCACATTTCGAAACGATATGCATAGGCTTGTTAAGCAATAGCTACTGATAGAGCGACGGACTGTCGAATTGGAAGTTGCATGCCGTGTTACGACATGAAGCTTTGAAGGCGTGTGAGCCGATTATCTCCCATCGCTTAAATTATAAAATCACTCGTCTGTCTTCCTTTCGGAGAGATAATTGCGATCGAAAGTGAAATAAAATGCAATCGATTACTTCGTGCCATACGAAATATTCGAAATGCCTCGGGCGTGATGGGCGACGAGTTCTCTTTGAGAACATTCTCTTTAAAGAATTCGTGGCGAATTTCGTCCAACGAAAATAGCCATTTATTTTTCCATGTAAAATCGTTCGTAAACGGAAATTCTTTCTTTGTTTATTATTTTTTTTATCAAAAAAAATTTTCTGCAGCAGAGACTTCAAACTGTTACGTCGATTTTTCGTCGTAAATTCGTCCATAACGAAAAATTGATTACCATTATACAAGTATATAAAAAAACGTCATGCATTATTGTCTTTTCCGATATGGCCTGCATAATTGCTGATATGGGTCAATGAAGATCGTTATCGAACTTGTCTCTTGAACCTGCGTGTCGATGTATGTCAGCAGGACAGCTCTATTATAATCGGATGCAGTCTGGGGTGATTATGACGCACCTATAATACGTCAGTGGTCATCGTTTATCGCTAATCGCGATTATTACCAAATCAATTCGACCGGCAGAAACCGTTGTGGCGGAAATTGTCGTGCGTAGAGCACAGAAATGAAATACAAAATATACGCAAAATAAAAAGTGTATGTTTTTTTTTACACAATTATGCGAAGGTCGAAGCTCAAAATTCTGCGCAAATTGAAAATACCGGAAATATGGCAGTGCACGGTTGACGTCCAAAAATAATAAATGTGAAGGTACTGGGTTTGCAATCCTCTTCCAGTTAATTGAATAAAAAAAATTTGTTAATGTTACTGACTTACAATTAATACAATTTTCTAATATTGTAATCGCGAACGCTGTCAAACTCCGACGATACTCTTAGCATTGATAAAGACGTACAATTCGGGCACTCGTATCAATTTGTTTACGGTCTACGTGTGAAAATCAATTAGGAAAATCATATTTCCTTGTAAGGAATTGTTCGTTCGACAGCACTAAAATGAGCCAGTTAAATATTTTTGATGTACGTCCATTATTTTAATGACTGTTATTGTCAGTCGAAGCCCATCTTAGATGTGTCTCGTTTTCGCTCGTTACTCTTTCTTTAAATTTGATCAAATATCAACCAAATTATATTAACAAGGTCTGAAGCACCAAAGCAGTTAATGACTTTATATTTAAATTACCCAAGAATTATAATTAACTTACCCAAGAATGCTCTGAAATTTCATGCAAAATAAAACAGAATATTTAACAAGGATAAAGACTTTGATAAAGAATATCGGATAAAAGTAACACGATTTTCGGCAGCAATCTTTGCATAAAAAGTGGACACGAGTTTTTATCTTTTACTGTCCGACTGTTAAAGATTGTAACGTGTTCTTTTTACATATTTTTTGTATTTTCCAGCACTGTCAAGTGACAAATAATCTTTTACATAAAAAGTGGATACGAGTTTTTATCTTCCACTGTCTGACTATTAAAAGTTTTTTACGTGCTCTATTTTTACATATTTTTTGTATTTTTCAGCATTATCAAGCAAAAAATAGTTTATTTAAAAAAATTATTCGAGAGCAATGACGATAATAAAACTGTAATAATTTCTACAGAAGTTATCGATCCGTGCAAAAGATTATAAGAATTAGAGATAATTTTATTTTATTGTAAATTTTTAATATACACGCGCACAGAAAGAAAAAAAAGAACAAGATGAGATTAAAATGTGAAAAGCTTTTTATATAAAAGACTGTTTCTACACGGAGAGAATTTTCTCTTAAAATTTATCTTGAAAATCGTGTAATCGTGGGACAACACAATATTTCCGAGAATTTTATTTTACTAGTAAAACGTATGGTAAAATTTCAGAAAACTCTCATAAAGCTCTTCAAAATGTCATGTTATCTCACGATTACACGATTTTCAAGATAAATTTTAAGAGAAAATTCTCTCCGTGTATATTTAAGCAATAATAAAAATTCGTTTTGCTGTTGAATACGTTTGGAAACAAATTAAAACTGAAGGTGTTTAATTTAAAATTTTTAATCCCGTAGTTTTAATTCACAATTAAACCCTTGTCGAATTCTTCTCGTAAACGGTAAGATAAAACTTATAAAATAAAAAATAACAAATTTTGACAGGCCTTTTCAAAACGTTTTCCTTTCTCAATATAACTCGAGGATCAATTCTCTATTAATAATTTGGCATTTTCACTGCATCTTCACGAGAGATAATAAAATTCAACCGTTTGCCATTATAATTGTCGAAAACTTACGTCGCTCACAAAGCAGATCACGCTCAAGACGCAGTCACCGATACGCGATTGAGAGGTGATCGTAGCAGTCCGAGACCGGGAAATCCGCGAATATGACTAAAAGAAGAAGGCACGGAAACGCATGCAGCGAATGCGCGAGACCGCCGGTGCAAATCTAAACTGCGCACCCCCCGTAGCCCACTCCGCGGGTCTGCCGAGCTGGTCGCACACTGCAGTGCGTAACGAACGGGAAGTAAGAAGGGTGTAGTTGTATTTTTGCAGCTCATGAAAGTCGTAATTTTGCCAGGGCACACTGGTCACGCCAGCGTCTAAAGAAATAGATTGCGAACTATTGCTGACAATTGACTTTTCGATTATTTAATTTAATACTTTAGACATTTCCGATGAAAAATGGACCGAAGATGAAAAAAGAGAGAAACGTCCCCTTACGGAAAAAAACGCTCGAGTTTTGAGTGTTAACACTCGATTGTCCGAATTTACCTACAAATTTGGGTGTGAATATTTAAATCTGGGTGTTTACGCCCAAATTTGAGAGTAAATTCGGACAATCGTTAATACTCAAAACTTGAGTGTTTTTTTTCCCGTAAGGGTCTGCCAGGTGTCAGATAAAAAAATCACTCCGTGAGAGACGGCTCTAGCGTAGAGAACGTAATAGATGTATAGCGATGGTTGGAACAGTTATTGAACCGGAATGCCTAATGCCGTACCGTGGCAACAAGAACACGTCACTACGTGAGGGCAGGCATTTACGCCACGCTGATTTTTTTTTAACGTTATCTTTTAACGCACTCCGGTTTCTGTATCCAAGCGGTGCGGTGTTTTGGGAGCGAGACGTCAGTATGCGAAATGAAACGTGTCCTATCAACCGTTTGTAAAATCCCGCGATAAAGAGATGAACTTGAAATCGATGCGTGAAATTATATTCGCAAGTAAAACGTTATTGCGATCGTCACGCGAGGTAAGTAATATCGGTACATCTAACTTTTAATTTATAATTTTCAATCTTCGTATATAAAAAAAATTATATCAAATCTGTCACGCGTCGAAATTAATCGGGCGCGAAGTTAGTATTAAAAAAATTTAACGGTAGAATTATTAGACATTACGTCTGTAACGAAAGAGACAGTCGTCAAAATAAGGATATTATTATTATTATTTTCTTTTAATATGAGGGTACATACATTGACACTTGGCGTTGGCCTAATTTCTTGTTGCGAGCGCGCGCAAAGATATCGAAGATAAGGCGAGCGGTACGGAACCACGAAATCCACTCCTCAGCAGTCACTATCAGACTGGTGGTTCGTACGAGACGTCGGAATACTAATATTCGCAGCCACGCATATACAAACGCGTGCGTTATGCGCGCATTGGGGGAGAATCTAAATCATGTGATGGTGACTGTTTATGTGGAGCAGCTCTTAATTGATTTTTTCTTCACTGTTAAAACAAAGAGAGAAATCTGCGCCTGTACGTAAATAGTTCAGGACAAAGATATATTAGAAACGATTCTTAATCATGTTTCAGCAGTAACGTATGGACGAAATTTATGTAATTGAATGAAAGCTATACGCTTATTCGTACACAAAGTAAGTTCTACTGCAAAAATACAAATGTAGACTTTAATCAGTAAAATGATTAAACAAAATGAGGGGACATTTACTCGAATAAATTAACTTGTAGTACAGCTTAAGAGTCTTCACGTAGCCACACGATTAAAAATGCAAAAATCTGATCCCTTTCCCAGAAAAAACTTCCGTTTTACGCAGCGGGTATTTTGTACGTATCCAAGTCGTTGAAGTAAGGATGCTGCAGTGCCGCCCGTGCGTGTATTCTGTACACAGGATCGTACGTGAGCATGGCCTGCAGCAGATCCAATCCATCCGGATCCAACGTCTTCACTTGCGACTCCAAGTTATTCGTCATCCAATTCGGGAACGTCGCTTTGTAATCAGACAATTGCGTTACGCCCGGCCATATATCTTCGGTAGGCGTTTTCAATATCCTGCAGGGTAAAATTACAATCATCGAACGGTCTGAGAAGCGACACTTCTACGGTGACGCATTAGAAAACTTTTACCGGAATATTCTGAACAGCTGATCGATCTCGCTGTCTCCCTGGAACAATGGTTTCTTAGTCGCCATCTCCGCAAAGATGCATCCAATGCTCCACATATCAATCGCGCACGAATATCTAGTAGCACCCAGAAGGATCTCGGGTGCCCTGTACCACAGAGTCACAACTTCGTGTGTGTATATTCTGACTGGAATTCCAAATGCCCTGCCAAGACCAAAGTCAGCCACTTTGATAACTCCGGTCTTGTCGATGAGCAAATTCTGCGGCTTCAAATCGCGATGTAGTATTCTACGCTTGTGGCAGAACAGAACTGCACGCGTGATCTGAAATGGCAGGCAAACGCGTCGGTGAACGTTCGGTCAATCTTGATGAAAGCGACTAGAGTGTCTATCAATAAAAAACAAAAGGTTACTGTAATGAGGCAGAAATGTGCGTGTAAGCAAACCTGATATAGATATGATTTGACTACAGCTGGTTCCATCAGTTTATTGCCCAAACTGTCCATGTACTTTTTCAGGTCCATAGTGAGGTACTCGAAAATAAGATACAGTCTCGACTCTTCCATTAACACATCGATCAAGCTCACTATGTTCGGATGATTCAATTCTTTGAGCAGCGAAATTTCCCTAATGGCAGTTGACGGTATTCCCTCGTCGTCGCTTTCCAAGCGAATCTTCTTCATGGCCACAATTTCTCCAGTCTTCTTGTGCTTTCCCTTGTATACCACTCCATATGTTCCTAAGGGATATTAAGACACCTTACAACGAGCTATGCTTTGAACTCCACGTTTACATGTAGCCAAAATATTTTATGGGATTATGTGTAGCTAAAATCCAATGCAACAACCTTGTAGATTTCAGCTACAGTAACATTGCACTGCTCGTTTCGCAAAGATCATTCTCCGTTTGACAAAGTATACATAATATACAAGTACTTGAGGCAACGTGGACACTAGCAATCACTGATGCCTTTCTATGTGAATTCAGACGCATGTAGACACATAAGTTTTCTATATACATGTGCATGCAAAATGTATAACGTGTTGATATGCCTGCCCACAAATTCACGTGGGAAGGCAGCAATGATTCCTAGTGTACAACCTGAAGGGACGGCGATCTTTCGTTCCAACACACACGTCGCCTCGGCAGCCAATAATCGCCGTCCGCGAGACGCTCGGCAAATATTTATTGACTACCGCGAGCACGAGGCAACTCGGCAACAACGGGCTTCTCGTACCCTCCTCGTGCCACTCACCTTCTCCGATTTTCTCTATTTTTATGAAGTTCTCCATCGTGCGTGGCCGAGAGAGCGTGGACGTCGGTTCAGCAACGGTCGCCGGGGCTCGGCGGTATCTTTCGCGCGATTCAACCGGGGCAACAGCTCTCGCGTCGCACAAGCCTTGCCGTATGCCGCCCACCTAACGAACAAATTCAAATCAAACGGCACGCCATATTGGTAAACACACATTTGCTGCGCGCGTCAGCAACGCCCCCTCGCGCCACAGTCCACGGCTGTCGGGCTTGCCGCGTACTCCCGCCACAGATGGCGCGCTGCCCGTCGGCCATGTTGGCCCGCGGATATTCAACTCCGAAGTTCTCGACAAGACCGAAAGTCCATGTAAATAAGTAAATATTGTACTCGACTTACTCGGCGTACTCGTTCTATTTTTTTTTCACGCAGTTGAGAATCGCGTAGTTTGTCAATCACAAAAATACTTGTGAGAAAAGACCGTGTAATGTCGTAAAAATATTTATTTTACATATTTGCACAAAAACAATAATAATAAGAGAAAATCGAGTTTGTCATTTGGGCGGATAAGCTTAATGTGTTCTCTACAAATCAATAAAAAAAATTAGGATGCTGTAATAGTATAATATAATACAAGAACTGTTGGTTCGCTAGCATACGATAACTGAGGAGTTTGCTGGAAAAACGATTCAAGTCGACTTTCGCTGTTCTTTCATATACTCTGAAAGCTAGGCTAAAAGCTTTAGAATTGTCTTCTACAGATCAATATTTATAAACTCTGCACTTGAAAGCTTGGTTTGGCCAATACGTAAATTTTCAAGTTCAAGATCGAACGTAAACTTTTAGTACGAAAACTTAAGTCGACTCGAGTCGTTCTCTCGCCAAGCTCAATTTCAATAAAAATATCTTCTGATCGCCTTTAAAAAGTACCGCGTAAATGGAGGAATGAGTGAAGGTGAAAGCGCTCGAGCAAATCCAGTTGGTCTTCCGCCAAGCAAAGTTTGTTTTCAGATGAACAATGCAGCTTCTTTTTAGATAATCTTAATAAATTTATTTTTAGTGCTTACAACGAGGAAATACACAACTTCATTGCAATTGTACGATAAACTCTGAACCTGGATTAGCTATCGTCCTTGATTCGCAGGAAAGACTTAGAAATCATCAGGGTTGGGAAAGCTACTTTATAGAAGTAACTAGTTACAGTTACTCGAAAAGTAACGAATCGTTACTTTGCAGTTACTCCCTTGCGATAAAAATAAAAATATCGAATTTGCATTTGAATTGTAAAAGCGGCGATAAAGGCGTTTATGCGCAAATGCAAGGCGCTAATGCGATCTGTGGAGGTTGAAAATATATATAAAGTAACTCTTAATGTAACTATTAAATTAATTACTAGTTATCGGAAAAAAAATGTAACTGAGTTAAGTTACAGTTACAGGTGTAGAGAAAGTAACGAAGTTAAGTTAGAGTTACCAAAAAGAAGTAACTGTAACTGTAACTTCGTTACAAGTAACGAGTCACTTCCCAACCCTGGAAATCATACAATTCGGTTTGAAATAACCGAAATGACGTAAGGTCGCTGAACTGGTGAACGTAACTCTATTTGCGTATCAGTATTAAATGTAACTACTAATATTAAATGTAATTAAACAATGGGCGCCAAATTGAGGCGCGTTTTATCGTGGAAATTGATAGCCACCAGTCGCGTAGCCCAGTCCTACGCCACGTTGCGTGTGTGTGGTAGCACGCGCTACTTCGTATTGTTGCTCCATATTGTTGAACATCTCTTCCTGCTTTTTCAGAATATCCGGCTTGGCCCCTACCGCCGGCGCGCTAGGCATATCACCCTTAATACCCATCAGTCGCTTGAACTTGGCCGACACCTTCCCATCCTGATCGTGCGTGAAGGTCGTTCCCATCCATGTGTTGGCGGTGGAAGCCGCGGTCGACGTGCTATTACCGTCGTCCGGCTTGGACTGCAAAGAGATAAGCGCGATTGTAAAACGAATTCGCGTGTGTCCGACACTTAGGCCGGTATTTATAGTCGAATCTTATACTCGAGACCGTCTTGAATTTATCTAAAGATGCTGTACGGAACATTTCATTGGCTACGAAGAATCTAAAGATGATCTTGAGACAGTCGTGAATATAAGATCCGACTATGAATACTGGCCTGAAGTATCAGGAGTATCGTTATCGCTGGATAATCATCACCTTATTCGCCCACAGAAGCTTCCTCTTTTGGATCTGTTCCGCGTACTTGCCCTGCGTCGCCGTCGCCAACGGATTGTAGTAATTTTGTTCGCCCTGGAAGTTACCGGGCGTCATGATGTCGCCGCCCTCCGGCGGCTTCAACTCTATACCCAGTTTCTCAAGCTGAGCCAGCTTGTTCCGTCCTTTTTCCTCTCGGTAACTCATCGTCCTGAACGGTAGCGGTAGCGCGCGGTCCCTCGATCGCGATCTCGATCGCGTGCGATCCCTCTCCTTGTGGTAGCCCGAGCGCTCGTCCCGATATCGGTCCTTGGACCGGTCGTCCCTCGAGTGCCGCCGGTCCCGTTCACCGCGATCGCTGCGGTCTCTGCGTCGGTCCCTGTCGTTCCTGTCGCGATTACGATCCCTCCGGTCGTCCCTGTAATGATGATCCTTGTCGCTCCTCTCTCTGTCGTCGCTCTTCTCATCCTTGGACGACCCGACGGACGCCTTACGCTTGTCGTCATCCCGACCCCGCCGATCTCTGCTTCGGTCTCTGTGGCTACTGCTGCTGTCACGTTGCCTTCGATCGTCATACCGGCGACTCTTGTCGGACGAGTGCCGACTCCGATCGCTACGATCTCCCCGCCTGTGATCGTCTTTCGAACTCGCATGATTCTCATGATCAGCTCGCCTGTAAAACGATTACGTTCTGCAGGGGTATACCACACAGATGCGTATTATTATTCTGGACATGTGACAGGTGTATAATTTGATATAATTTTAGTGAGATGTATGAAAAATTACTGCTCTCGTGGCAAATCCGACGGCAATAAAATACCTAGCACCTGTACTATAGGTAGCAATAATAAGCAAACCAGCCTACCTCTGGTCTGATGGAGAAGGCAAAGCTCGGGAGGATTCTGTTCTCGAGCCAAAGGTAGACTGGGCCTGTGCAGGACTGTGGGCGCGTTCGCTACTGGACTCCCTGGACGAATTATTGTTGTTGCTCTCCTAGAGAGAAGAAAAATTGTCAATTTTAGTACGGATCTCTCTTACATATTCCACTGAGTAAGAAATAGCTCGTAATTCCTACCACAAAAGCTATTTTTAGAATGTTTTAACTTCAATACACGCAAAGTTGTCTGACAGCGAGTGTAATAACGAGTAACAAAATATTAGAGCAACCTACACTTTGTAAAGAGGAAAAACGCTCTTGACGAGTATAAAAGGTGAACGTAAAGTTGGAAGAATTTCTGTGTACAAAAATGAAATTGAGTTTCTTTTTTTTTGTTCTCTCGCATCAGTTCTTCTTGGTTGTACTTGATACAAAAGTTTGGAGACACTCAGCGGATTTCCGAGGTGTCGCCTCTATTCGATAATATACATAATCTGTATGCGCTCGATCACACGACAGGTAAAAGTAGAACCAATAGAAACAACCACGTGACAAAAAGGAGAAAGAGAAAGAGAGAGGAATATGAGGGCCCTTCGTAACAATCTGCCTCTGCAGTTAGTTATCACCCGAGCATATATAACTTTTGTATACGTGATTTCTTTGATGATTGGATGTTTTGTTAGTGTTACCTTCTGCCAGCTTCCTCTACTCACCTCTGTCTTCTGACTAGGACTTGGGGGTAGTCTTGAAAGACCCTCACACAGCATAGACCTTGCCGAGATGCGTAGATATTGTATCATGTATTACCAACAGAGCTACGTGTTAATATTGTCTCACGAAATGGCACTATTCCCATTTACTTATCATTTAAATTTTAATAAATGTGAATGATAGCCTGATTATCCCTGCGTTCGCTAGGGTTTCAAGGTCCTGTCTTATTCGCATTGTGCGCGTAAACTACGAGCCGGATCGCTTTCGCTAGATAACGGATACTGCAGCTTGTACCGAATATCACGATCCGATCAAGAAATCGTCAATGCACGAGCATCGCTTGCCGCGATCTCGCGCATTGCGCCCGCTCGCCGCGGGCGGCGTTAATTGATCGTTTCGACGACATGACCTTGCAAAACCGGACACTATCCCCATTACGTATCAGGCCTAAGATGCTCTGCATGTACATACAGCACCCGTAAAGTCACCGCGGCATCTTCTTAGGCATTGTCCGAATGTTTCGTACTTAACAGCTAAGAATTAAGGATCAACGGCGTGCGCTATCGCCATACCTCACTCATGTCCATCTGTACCGGGTCGTAGTTTGCGTCGCTCGCCCTCCTGCTCGCCTCTTCCTGTCCCCGAGGTGGCGTCTAAAAAAGAGAAACCCGAGAATAAAATCATTTCGGACTCCAAGGCGCACCGCTACGCTCGCAGTTCTGATTTCGTGGTCCACGCCGCGAAACGACTCGCGGGGAGGATCGCGGAAGGGAGGATTGATCGCGCCTCGGGGTATCTAGGGCCGTGCATAATCGCAGCGTTTGGACGCGTAGCGAAGCCATATCGAACGGCGTGCGCCGCTATTTCGAGGTGGTGGCGGTGGCGGTGGCGGCGGCGGCGGCGACGAGACCTCGACGACGGCAAACGGATCCCCGCGCTCGCTCACCTTCGCGTCGTCCGAGTTGTTGCTGTTGTCGCCGTCACTGGCGTAATTCGCCAACGAATCCATAATGGCGCGCGAAACGTTCAACTGTCCCACTGCCGAGCTGTTGTTGACTGCAGGTCGGACCGTAGACGGCCGCGGCCGAGCGTCGCGGAGGAGTATCGCCAAGTATTGCTCGCAACGCACAGTGCACAGTGCGTCGCGCCGATCCTCAATTCCTCACGGGCGTCCTGTGCGCACGCCCGCCATTGGTCGGCCGAGCCGGGTCGAAATGCCGCTCGAACGGCCCGAACTGCCCCGAACACGCTCCGCCACGCCATTGGCCGCCCGTGCCCCGTTCGCCAGCCTTGCGAATCGGGCCTTCCGCGCATGCGCGGCGAATGCGACGACTGTAGGGCTTGTTTTCTATCGCTGCACTAGTGCAGTAATTAGCTAGAATGAGAAAAAATATACCTCTCTTACTCTAATTTATTGCACCAATTCACCAGTGCAGCAATAGGATACAAACTTATAGATACATACGTGCATACATACGCCGTTAGGTTAGGGTGAATATTGCATTTGTCGTGCAACTTTTTCAAGCGTGCCGATTGGCTGCAGGATAGAAAAGTTCTCGAGTCTAGAAATTTTCTATTTTGCAGCCAATCAACACGCTTGGAAAATTTGCTGTACGACAATGCCAGCCTTAGAACACAATTGCGGCAATTTTCGAAATGTAAAAAGATAATGAAATGTACATATACTCTTACGCATGTGCATATACGTATAATTACATCGCGCACAGAATTATAAGGAATTAAATAATTTATACTTGGTAAAACGTAAGGAAAGGACCCTATATATTGCACAATATATTGGCGCAATATTGGTCCAATATTGTAAGATGGACGCCTTCTCTTATCTAGCCAATGTCTATTTGGCAATATTGGTTTAATATTATATCAGTATATTATATCAATATTATATAAATTGGACCAATATTCTTATTACATTGTTAAATATTGACCAAATGCACTTCCAATATAAATCTAATATTACATAATTATTATCGCGCGATATTTACATTTATTCCATGGCCAATATTGGCTTTACGTTTGACGATATCGGTCAATGCATTTGTAATGTAACCAACATTGGACCAATGCTTAGATAATGCACTGTGCTACTAGAAACCACTGAAGCCATTGCAATTAAAATGTGCAGTGGACTCCAAGTGGATATATTTTATTTGGCAGAAATATATGTAGAATAGCAATAGTGTTTGTTGCGGGGATAAGAGGAACTGCCGAAAACATTGCCATTTTTTATGATAAAATAAAAATGTTTCTAAAATTAAAAGTGAAAATAGCATTCTATAAATATTAAAAAATTTTCTCTATATGATAAAGTTAGGAGAAATAAATTCGTCCGTTTTGTATATATATTTTTACGTCGTTTTCGCCGCGCATGCGCGAAAGACCCGGCTCAATTTGCAACGCCGATCCGCGCTCCCTTCTGTGTCCCTATGCACCAAACATTTTCCCTCTCTCGTCCCTTCTACCCGCGGAAGAATCTGATATATCCGGTGTATATGTTTGAACGCGGATTGGATGGCACAGATTTACGGATCTGCTTTCTCCTCGCTTCCTTTTTTGCTGTTTTCTCTTCTTTCTTCCTTTTTTAAAGCAAAATTACTCACGCCGCCTCTCAAGTTCTCTTTTGACGCAGTGTGCAGTGACTACCGCAGATAGTATCATTCTGTCTTCGTTGCACGAATGACAAAATAATCAGATGTCAAACGAAGATAGAGGGAATACAACATATTGCGTAAACGAACGCACACAGAAGCTAGACAATTCAAAATCTCTGTTGCTCTACTCATAGATTTTAATTTGCACAGAGAGAGAGAGAGAGAGAGAGAGAGAGAAAGAGAGAGAGATATGTATACATGTACGTGTGGTTTTTATTGATTCCCAGGCGAGTTACAAGGACTTCCGCTTCCGCAATTACATTAACTTACTGTTAACTTACGACTAACTCTCGGCCTAACTTACCACTAACTCCTTATCTAACTTACGAGTAAATTTAACCCGAATCTAATCGCCATCGTACTCCGCCAGATTTCGATTTACAAGTCGTATACATTCGAACGTATATTTAGATGCACTGAAAGAAAATTTTTTCGCTACCGCAGCCTAGTCGTGGTTTGCTAAAAATATTTTGCCACCATAACTATCTACAAATTTCTAAACCACAGCGAACGGTTTGCCGTCGCACCTAGAACAACGGGTACGGTAGGAAAATATTCGGCTATCACAACTAAACTCTATCCATATTTTACAACTGAAATTTATTATAGTTGCCGCGTGCAGTTTTTAGCTACACTTTTCTCCCCGTGTGCGACAAAACGTTCTTCGACTACTTAAAGTACTCGTTTCGAACGACGACAGTTTAACAATGGAGAAACGGCAGAGGAGAAGGTGTCATTTATTAAAAAAAAAAGAATCATCATGAGTTTCGTGAATTCTCTCGGGAGTTAAAGCGAACCTGAGGAGGGGACTCGGGGTTCTGTTCGCGCGAGCCAACTAAGGGCGAAGTACAACAGTCGATCTTCTCTCCGCGACCGCGAGGCGCGCTCGCACGTATCGCGTTCCCGCCGTGTGTCAACGAGCAAAGTATGCCGAAGGGGTTAACGAGCGAGTTCCCCCCCTCCCCCCGTTCCGCCCGCGCTGTCGCCGCACGCGGGGAAAACCCGATCGACGGTGTAAAAATAACGAACTTTTTTCCGCACAACGCCGCCGGCGAGATGCACGCGCCTCCGCCTCGCACTTTCTCAACCGCCGGACAATCTCGGTCGTTTACGCCGTAAATTGTAATTTACGATCGATAGCACGTAGCGAGCGAGCGGCAGGGGGCGCAAGGGGGGGAGGGAGGGGAGATTAAGGAACAGCTTAATAGATACACGCTGATTAATACCCGAGACGGTGGTGGAAGGTTTAATTCAACGATGCGAAGTGTAAACACGCGGACGCCCCGTTACTTCCTGTCACGAGGGCGACGACGAAGCAAATCGCGACTTTTCGCGTTTGCTTGTCTCTGCCCCTTTCCTTTTCTTTTTCTTTGTCAACGAATGTGCCCGTGTTCTCTTAAGCTAGCGCCACGCTACCCACATAGCACAAATGACTGTTTGCCGGCTGATAGTCGACATTTTTTAGTCACCTTGAAGTTAACTTTTTAAGTCGACATTTAGTCTACTATCTATAGAATGGTTTATTGTCGACTTTAACTATAGACTGAAAGTCGACCTAAAGTCGACATTTTCAGGAAGTTTAAAGCCTTTCGGTAAAACGAAAAATGAACTAAAAAATATTTTTTCGGCAAAGTGCAAAAATGTGTAAAAAATATCTTTTTGGCCAATCTTTCTGGTCAATACCTATGTCGAACCGATTATATAGCGAATCGACGTCTCACTTTCCGCGTGTAGCGCGATAGTCGCGACATGCATGCTCCTTGCTTGTTCGTGAATTATAAGTGTCAATTCCTGATAGACGACAATCGTATTTGGACATAAGATGAGTCATATTTTTCGCGTGGCTATCGAATACGATGTAATGTGTCGATTAATACAAGTTAATCAAGGAAACCTGTCAAATTTGTCAAAAATATAAAAGCATAATTAAATAATATAATATATACTCTGGTTTATTGTCTGTTTTTTTATTAAGACATATGCTCATTATAATTATTATTTAAGTTTAATTGGAGCATTTTCAAAGACTTGATCAATATAATTTTATTATTTCTTAATTGTATTTATATATATTGTAAATATTATACATACATACTATATTGTAAATATTATACAATTAAAATATAAAAACTTTAATCAATCAGGTTTTCAAGATGTCACTATTAAACATTTAGTAGTTAATATAAATAACGTAAAATGGATTAAAAGTTGACTTCTAATTGCCATAAAGTAGACTTCTGGTCGCCATAAAGTAGACTTCTAATCATCATAAAGTCGACTTTTAATTGCCATAAAGTCGACTTCTAAGTCGACTTTTGGCTGACTGACAGCCGACTATAGTCAAGTCATTTGTCGACTATTAGTTGACTATAAGTTGACATTCAGCTTGACTTTGAAGTCGACTTCAGACTTCTGCTGCCGACTGATAGTCAACTAATAGTCGACTTGGTGCTGTTTGGGTACGCGCGATTCGTAATCATAGACGTATAATACCTATAACAGGGTCGTTTAAAAAAAGAAGAAACAGACACCAAACAGACACCAAACAGACACCATGACAGTGAAGCTCGATGTTTATTGGCTGTCGCAAATCGCAGAGACGCAAATTTTGAATTTGGTCAAACCTTGCGACTGGGCGCGTTTGCGACTGTACTACGATCGGAAGTAGCGCTGCTTGCGTTCATGCAATTGGTTACTTACGACTAATGTAGAACGACCTTGAAGCCCGTATCAGACTACGGATTGGGATTGGGATTAGATTGAAATTTGACCAATCAGAGTAAAAGTCACTGAACTTGAGATTAGTAAACTTTACTGTGATTGGTTAAATTTCAATCTAATTCCAATCTCAATCCGTAGTCTGATACGGGCTTTACGAATCGCGCGTATGGCTGATGGCAGAGAACAATCCGTAAACGCTTAAGCGGGGAGCACACACTTTTGCATAAGTGCATAAGCATATGCATAACGAATTTGA